GAGGGGGGGGGGGGGGGGGGGGGGGGGGACAGAATATGAAAGCGAGCGAACGACACAAACGTCCTTCCATATGCATGATCCTGGCTCCCACGATCCCACATTAACCAGAGGCCTACAGGCTATATGAATCAGTCTCCATACCGGAAAAAGGAAATAATTATGAAGCTCGAATTCACCGCTCGGTGCTCCAACCCTGCCAAAGTTCCCGGATGGGGAGGAAAGAATACGTGAAGCGTACCCAATTTCCTTCTAGCTTGAATAGAGTGTTCAAACGTGCTACTAGCACGTAGTAAGGTATCCCTAAGTACTACTCCCAACCAGTTTTTTGCTACGGGGAGAAAAAAATAAAAACCCTCAGAAAATGCGAAACCTTAGAGGGACAAGACGACAGGGGTTAATGCAAATCGTGGAAATGCTTCTTATCTTCAGCCTTGCGTGGGAAGTTGGAAGAAGAGAAACTGGGCAGTTCCTGAAATGATCTCGAGGGTGAAGGCGGCGACGCTTCATTTCCGGCACTGACAAACGAGCGAAGAAGCGAAAGGCAATATGGAGGCCTCAGTGAGTGACGTTTCTTTCCTCATCTTCATTCCCACTGCACGATTCGTGCATGATATGGAAAGGCCACATCAAACATCCTCGACATCTTCGCGCCTAGCTTTGGAAAGATGAATGACAGGTCTATCTTTATTGAGTAAAGGAGTCCTGTGAGGGCTAGCACAGAAAAACTAGGCGGAGGGCACATCTACCGGAGGCGGCTGCCAACGCTTTCTTTTTTTTTCCTCTCTTCCCCTCCTCACCAAAGACGCGGAGATGAGAATTGGATCCATTCCAAATCTCATCCTTTGAAACTTTGGGATAAGGGATATTCCCTTATAACTGATGCCTGGGTATACTGCCCTCCGAAAGTGGCCCTAAGTTTCCCGGGCCTCTGCTCTTCTCGCACAAATGAGCGAAGCTACAAGAGAATGCAATGAGGACGTGAGTAATAGAGGCTCCGTCGGTTCATTACCGAGGGGGAACAGTCGGCAGTGGAGGCGACCACAATAGTTGATTTCAAGGGCAGACTCCGTTCGCCCCCTCCGCAGGGGGACTCCACGAGGAGGGAGAATAATCATTCTAATCTGTGGACTCATGAAGCTTGGGGGGTCAGGCTCTACTGTTTATGAAAGGCTTCATTAAATGCCAGCTGCTGACAAGGGAAGGGGGTGGGGTTCAGGCGAAGTCATTGACAGACCGTATATGTAGAAATGGACGGCGTTCACATAGGATCATGCTGAAAGGTATATTTGCTTTCTTCTATTTCTGAAATGGGAGGGGGATTAGGTTGCAACCAGACAGCTCATCAAAACACGCGTGCTCTCGCTAAATTACAAACACATCCAGGAAAGCACAGGCACATCCGTATAGCAGTCGAACTAATGAAGTGCGTGTTCTTCCAACAGCCGCGCCGTATCGGCTCGTGCAGACTGTGCATATGAAGCTCGTCTCGCGGAAAGACCGGCTAACACCAAAATAAAAAGGATTCCTGATTGGTTTTTTTTTTCTTCCTGGAAGCATGACGTGAAGATACGAATGGTCTTATAGCGGGTCGCACCATGAATAGAAGGTAATCTGGAGCCTGCATCCAGAGAGGCCAAATTACTTCTTAGGGCGGAGATTGCTACATGATTATTTCATACGTTTTCCAGAGAAATTCTATTCCACGATTCCCACGCATGAAAAAAAAACACAATTCTAACCTGTTCCATGAATTGCCTTCTTTGAGTACGTTCATCAAAGAAAGGTTCATCCCGTTTGCATAACTGAATTTTTCATCAAAAAAGCCATTCCGTATGCAGAATCGAATTGTTAATCAGAGTAAGGTCCATTCGGTTTGCACAGGGTGATGGAGGGAGAAAAAATGAGAAAGAACGGGGGAAAAAAGCAAATGGACTCAATATTTGCAGGGGAACCGAGAGAAACGGGAATGGCCTTGTGTATGGCAAGCAGATCCGGTGACGTATCCCACGCCAGCCAGCTACCACGTTGAACTATTTCTACGCGGAATCCTCGCTTTCGTAAACGATCCAGAAAGCTAGAAGCCTGTCCATAATGGTCACCGTTTGCTGCCCCCCTAGCGATGAGCGTAAAAGCTATTGAAAAAACAGATGACCAAGAGAGGCGGCAAAAGATGAAGATAAAGCCTAAGCTATGACTCAGTCTGGCCTCCCCTTCTACACACACCCAAGAAAAACACGCGGCAAAGGGCCCCTGTGATTCGCGCCTGGAATTCTATACAAGCATCGACCCTCTGGGAAAGGGAAGAGGGTAGGCCTATGGTTTGGGTAGTTTGAACATGCAAAGGAAGAGATGGCGAAGATTACCAAGTGACCCATTCGAGAGTCTCGATGATGGAACCAGGGCAGGGAATAAGAAAAGCCCGCCCATCTGAGTGATTTCTCCCCTCTTTTCCTTTTCCTCTTCCCCCTCTGACTCCATAATGGGCTTTCATCAACAAGACCCAGTTGGCCGACCCGCACGTGCACGCCAGGGGGCCATAGGTCACCCACACTAATCGCGCTTGTGGTCTTGGACCTCACCTTTGAGTCGGAGTCAGAATCTACTCCTCCGAGCAGCTTCACGTTTTCCTTATGAACTATAGGTCTCGTATGTATGTTGCCTTGCAATGGTGTACTCAAGACGGTCAAACCGCCTTTGTCCTGCAAGCAACACGAGTAAAGGGCTTCTCTTTTTACGAGAAGTAGTGAGCGTGGGAGGAGGAACATCTTAAGCGCTCATCGATCTTCGCACAGAAGCCCGGCTTTAGCTCATTTGCACCCGTCATACAGGTGCGAATGGTTACCAGCTTAAGTCAGGTAACACCTTGAGCGCGAAGGAAAAAAAATCTTTTTTTTTTTGTTATTCAAAGTCTCTATAACTGTGAGTGTGGAGGTATGGTAGAAATGCTGGCTTTCCACGTTGTCTCTTATAACCTCCTGGACGACAGCTGTAAACCCTCTGGACAGCACGTGGCAGGAATGACATACACCAGAGACAGAATGCATGCGGATCAGGATCCTTCTGACACCCTCGCCAGAGATACAGTACGCCTGTCTCGTCCATGTGGCGACTGAAAAGTTAATGAGATCTTGGAACTAATAATGATCGACGAGACGTGATACTGGCTTGAAAGCGCTGAAACCACGAAGGTCCTGACAATTTAAGGCCTCCGTGTGAAAAGGATGAGCGTAAGTGACGCGTTCCCGTTAACACTCTTGGCTCTAACCAGAAGTGACGAAGCGAATGAATCTCCTTTTCTCTCTTCTATTTCATCTGCAGAAGACAAGGCCAAATCGCCCTTCCCCATCAATCCTAATCAATGCCTTGCCCTTGGTAGGGCCAACGGAAATGAAATCCAACACCACGCCCCATCCCTCGGAGCTGAAGCGAAGTAAAATCTTCCGTCGACCTATATCTTTCACATCTCACGTGTTCCCTCCCAAAAACGCTAAGTCGTCAGGCTACAGCACCATGTCACGAAAAACGGAAAGAATGTGGAATCAGTCTGAAGAGTAACCGTCTATCGTTCTCAACAGGGCTACCACTAGTTACCAAGAGGTATTAATAGCTTATTCAAGGATGCAGAAAAAAGGGTTGGTCGGTGTGAACTGGTCCGGCCCAGCCTAATGCAAATGAGTTATTCAATGTGCTACGTCGGTAGAGCAGAGTCCTCAAAGACACGTCAATAATAATGATTGGTGTGTTTGCCAAGACAGATGAATTGTGGAGGCCAAGAAAGACCTCCTTCTGCGTTTACAAACACTG